CAGCAGTTCACATCTTTACAGGCTCTCGTGCGACGCTTGCACTTCTTCCTGAGTCTGTTTGGAATCATTCTGCTCGGTTACACTGGAAATAATCTGGCCTTATGACACTATTTTTATTTTGGCAGTGCCTGCCTAAACTTCTCCCTAAATCTGGCACTTCCTATTGCTGTCAGCGTAGGGTTTGTTGGTAAATTGCTGGCGTAGGTTGCAGCGCGTATGAGCTCAATAAAGTGTCTTTTGTCTTTAATTACTTTTCTGTTTCACTGTAGGTGCGTATAGCTGCAAAATTCATCACTCATGCACCCCCTGGGGAGTTCAATGAAGTATTCAATGGTAAGGACGTAAGGAAAAAGGATCGGCGGTGTTTTATAGTAGATAAAATGTGAGGAGCACAAGGCTGTGTCATAATACGCTGCTTTTAAGGTTACAAAGCGGTGAGGGAACAGCACGCTGTCATTCTGTGCCTGCACACCCGTAGCGAACTGATTTCATCATTTTAGCGTTTGCATTTCTACGGTTGAAAGTGAAACGTGTGGAGAAGCACTCGATCAAAAACTCCGGTAACTCACCTGAACTCTCTCTTCCCCAGATGTCCGGTTGTTGCTCAACAACGACAATCTGCTGCGGGAAGGAGCAGCACAGTAAGTACCGACATCTCCAACACAAGTCACCATCAGAGATGCGTGCTTCCTCACACCCATCATTTTGTGCCAAAGCCTTTGTTGTACTGAGAGCAGTCTTCTGCAACTCCTTGTCCCCCCAGCAAAGCACATCATGAAAAGCAGGGTGATTCTCTGTAAGAGGCCTGGGTGATTCTTTGTAAAAGCCCTAAATCGGAATTTGTGCAGTAGAGGCCATATAAAACTGACAGGAAGGCGCTCTGTCACTTCCTCACACCCATCATTTTGTGCCAAAGCCTTTGTTGTACTGAGAGCAGTCTTCTGCAACTCCTTGTCCCCCCAGCAAAGCACATCATGAAAAGCAGGGTGATTCTCTGTAAGAGGCCTGGGTGATTCTTTGTAAAAGCCCTAAATCGGAATTTGTGCAGTAGAGGCCATATAAAACTGACAGGAAGGCGCTCTGTCAAAAATTTTTTTTTAATGTCTGATCCTGTTGAAGCATGATTTGTAAAGCAAGTGGAGCCTGAAATACCGAGTAATCCTCAGCTGGAGTTTAGAAAAAGAACTGCCCTCAATAAGAAAAAGGTTTCAGGGTATCTTGTTTACTTGCACGGCCCATCAGAAGGTGTTAAAGGTTACACACACAGGCTGTTTGATGCTGAGGTTTTACTTCAGGCTCAGTGACACGTCAGTCAGCAAGTCTTTACAGAAGAAAATTGCTGTCAATATTAGTCTGCTCGTTTGTTTACCTTGCTGCTGCCTGATTTGCAGCTGGGGTGTTCCTGTTTTGCCCTGGCTTGCTCATACTCCCCCAGGCTGCCTGCTGTGCCACTTTTGAACTCTGCACTTTCCCGGTCATCACTCAATAAACCTGGCTTTAGACCTGAGGTTTTCTAGCTGTCATCGATCAAGGGTATTGAAAAATCCTTTAGGGGCGCTCCTGTGTATGATTTGCCAAGTTAAGTTGCAATTTTCTGTAATTCAAATCACACCATGTACGAATTTTCTGTAATTCAAATCACACCACGTACACATTCTTGAGTCAAAATAACCGGGTGTTAATTTGAGTCAAAATAAACAGCTAAAATCCATCTTCTTTTAATTCTCACCAGTGCGTTTGCGCAGTACAACATGGATCAGTTCACTCCGGTGAAGATAGAAGGGTACGATGATCAGGTAAGAGAAAACGTTTTCCGCTGGAGGTTTGTGTTACCACATGGTGCAAAAGCGGTACAAAAGTGCTGCTTCACCGAGACGTTGACTGGTTTCGTTCTGCTCACAAGCTGCCGTCATCCCTCCCACGCACATCGGGGTGTTACCGAACTGCTCTGACAGAAGCAGCAAAGGCGAAACGTTCTCTTGTTGTCTGATACTGCCTGGTAACTCCGGTTCGTTGTTCCTGAGGCAAAGCTCATGCTGAAGTCTCTGGAATTCTCCTGAGAGTCTGAATGATTAAGGATTACTGTTTATATAAAGCTCACTGACAAATTCTTATGTCGCTGCCCGCTTACAGCTCCTTCTCACAGTTGGCAGTAGGTTCTCAATAGTGGGAGTTTCTTGATTTTCTGCGTTCTTGACCCATTCCTGGCTACCCTAGAACAGATTGAGTTCAATCCACGCCTTTGAATATACCAATCTAACACCATCCAGCCTATGCTAGCGAAACCTCTTTGTGGATACAAGCAGCAAGTCCTACAGAAGCTGGAAAGCTGGTCTGACCATCCGTTCTGTGCCGAGCCGAGTGCTGACCTCACTTTTCTGGTGGCCCAGATATGTTCGTGGGAGGCAGACATATTTAAGAGGGCTGTCCATAGAAACAGATTTGGCCAGAAGAAGTTACAGTGCAGCCTGCGAAGGTAGAAAAGCCAGTGTTTGGGAAGCCAGGGAACTGTGGTGACTGAGCCAAAGGAGAGGGACGGTTCAGTGCTGCTTCGCCGTGTGCTTTGTGCATATGAAAAGTAGCCACATCTCTACACCCTTCTCAACCAGGAGAGCTCTTACAGCCTGGAACGTGGCAATAGGTGGTACATTCCAGAGTAAAATTCTTCCTTTCCTTTAGAAATGGGTAAGGAAAACAGCAAAAATAACAGAACATTAGACACAAATCCACCTGCTTGTATTGTAAGGATGCTTTAAGGTAAATATATACATTATTGTAATAGTTTTCTGTCCCAGAAATGACTAAGTGCAGTATTACTGTGAAGAGCAGGGGGTTCACCTACAGCCTCATTACAACTCCTCTTAGTTGAAATTATTACTGAAAATCTCAATGCGTGAAGTTACTGAAGAGCTCAATGAGTGAATCTGTTGAAACATTGATACCTAGTCAGACAGTCAGGGGAAAACACAAAGCAGCACACTTACAGCAGCATATGTGTGTCTTAATTTCAACTTCTTTTACAGGTCTTAATCACAGAACATGGTGATCTGGGCAATGGCAGGTTTTTAGACCCAAGAAACAAACTTTCTTTTAAGTTTGATCATTTGAGGAAAGAAGCAAGTGACCCCCAGCCTGAGGACACAGAATCAGCTTTAAAGCAATGGAGAGATGCCTGTGACAGCGCGCTGAGAGCTTACGTGAAAGATCATTACCCCAACGGCTTCTGTACTGTTGAGTATCCCCCTTGTTTCACTGAAAGTTCGTTGCTCCGTGTCAGGCAGTACCTTGAGTGGACTTTTTGCTGTTTGAATTCTCCATCCTTGCTAGGCTTTTGCTAACTTTGGAACCTCGAGTTCCAAAGAGGGTGCAAATATCTCGGTGCACACAGTGGTAAAGGTGTATCAGACTCCTGCTTTTCGTCACCGTGACTGCCGAGCACCGTGGCACCCACACTTAACGAACAGGAGGCATTATTTGCACATAAGTGCAAGTGGAGGCGTTGGACAAATGTAGTTAGTGAGAACCCACACTAGCAAGCCTCCAC